GCCTAGAGTTGCTGATTTTTGTGGGGCTTTTGCCAGTGGTTTCATCTATCTCATGATTCAAAGAGAGAGCCCGAGCAGAAAGAGCCACGGATGGTGTGGCTGGCTTCTCCACTTCAACCCTATAGTGGAAAGCGCCCGCTTCATCTTGCACTTTGTACATGGTGAGTTCCTCGCCAACATGGAAATCATTGCTAATAACAAAATTTCTCCAACCACGGGAGAAAACAGGTTTCTTGTACCCATTCCTGCGGACAGAGCAGACAATTGGCCACATCTTTGTGCCATACATAAGGGGAATTGTCACGGCATGGCTCCCATTAAAATCTGGTAAGGAAGGCAAGATTTTTGCAGGGATCGCCAACCTTTTTGTGATGTCAGTGTCAGTCAGTGACTTTGAGAATATCTTTATTGCTTGAGGCATGGTGGCCGGTGGGTGAAGGCTGTCTGAAAATTTTAGTGATTCTAGGTTAGGAAGAGATAGTGATAGGAATCCGCTATATATAGATACACAAACGAGCTGCGTCCAACATTGCAAATCCCAAAAGAGGTGGAACACTTTGGAGGGCTAAAATGGTAAAATGGTTTCCATTGGGGGAATCAGCATTTGCTGCTGGAAACTGGAAACATACTGACATAGTTTTCTACGTGAAAAAAATCACTATCTTCTCCGAGATAAGCGTCCACTTGACAGTTTTTGCTCCACGTGTGAAAGTTTGAGGGCTAAAACGGTAAAATCGGTTCTATCCTAATGGTCGCCGCATTGAGAAATCAACAACGTCCATTGGTTATCTGTTTGTCCAAGTATGAAAGGGCACCCCACCAAAAATGTAGATTCAATTCAACTCAAAGCATTATGCGTATTTCACGTGCTTATTCCACGTCGATGACCGCCAGCTCGTTGTCGATGCGACGTTTTCATTTCTTTTTTGAAAGGGCACTGGTTGTCGTTGTCAATGCAGCCCAATGAAGATGAAATCCCCACAAGAATGAAACAGCCTATTAGAATCAAACATTGAAAATATATAAGCCGGGGAATCCATGATCACGACTTCTAGTTATTTAATATTGGAGCTTTGGATGTGCTCCCGGAATCTAATTTGCTTCACATCCATACAACATTTCATGCCCAAAAGTTCAAAGGACAACGCACTATCATGCACAACGGCCTATCAAGCATTTGAAAAGTTCAAATGACTATGAAGAAAGCAACAAGCAAGGTGGTGAAAGCTAGCTGAACCCTGCCACTGGCATACATAATCAAGCCTTTTATATTCGATTTTTCAAACATTGGAAATTAGTAATCTTTTGTGGGGCCTTTGATTAGTATGGAAAGGTTGCTTGCACCGAGGATGTTTGCCTGCCAAAAAGTAAGTTATCTAGCAAGAACCATAAAGAGCATAACATACCTAAAAACTGAGTTATCCCCTTCCTCAGGAAATTGGGACTTCATTTCCCAGCAGATTTAATAAGGTCTATATATGATGGATGCTCCACACTGTGATGGTTTTGATATTGCATGCAACATCTTAGCTGGAGTTTTTGGGAGCTATATTGTAACTTTTGACAAGTGCTCTAGAGGTTGTGTTGTAGCTCTTTGGTGCTTGGTCTTTATGTTAGAAGGTTTTGTCAGTTTATCCCAGTACTTTATTCTTTGCTTTGCTGGCTATTTGTTAGCTTTGTAACCTCTCGATTGCTTAATCAATATTCTTAGTTTAACAAAAAATCAGTATCCTTGGAGGGAATTTGATCAACTTTGTTATAGGACAGGCTAATTAATTGAGGAGATTAGTATTTTTTTTTTCTTTGTTGAGTTGACAATATTCTTGTTGCCATTCAGCTAATTTTAACAGGATATGGAGCGAACTATCTAGTTATTTCATCCTAGATCAGTGAGTTCTTT